CTGGCATGCATCTCTTGGGGAGAGTTTGGAAAGTAAGTTGAAAATTTTCGAAAATGAAAAAAAATGTTGGAATTTGTCTGAAAAGCGCAGAAACCCTACCTTTTTTAAATATTTCAAAAAAATTTAAATTTGGAATTTTCAAAAAAAAAAATTGTGCGCTTTTTAGACAATTTCAAGCATTTTTCGATTTTTCGAAAATTTTCAATTTTTTTCCAAATTTCTTCCAAAGTTCTCCCCATCAGATGCCTTGCAGAACAGGTCTCTGTCACAGAGATTCAGATGTACCGTGTCTGACGAACGCGTCGAGGGAGCGGGTCCCGACTAGGAGCTTGTCTGTCACGCTCGGCTGTTTCAGCGCAGCGGGATGAGCGGGGAGAGGTCTGCGGGACGACTTCACGTCTCTCGCTCCTTTAACCTCCTTCGAGGCCCCAGCTTTATTGGGGAGCGGTTCCGAGGAATCCAACCCTTTAACCGTTCGCCCGGCCACTACCCCGGTGTACGCCGCGCTGACCTCAGCGTAGCTGAGTTGCCGGCCACCGGAAGTGACTTGTTCGCCCGTGTTGCTGGAGGTTGGTTTAACGATTGTAGAAAGAATGAACAGCAGTGATACCATAACCCCAAAAAACGAAGATGCAATGAAGTTCGTTGGCTAATGCAATTCCTAATTCATTTCCGAATAATAATCTTATTTCTACCCCACACACCAAATAAAATTAAAAGTATAATAACTTTTCTCAAGTCAAAAAATTCATGTGGCTATGATGGAATTTCATCTAAAGTACTTAAATCTTGTGTAGATTATATAAATATTCCATTAAGTTATCTCTGTAATCATTCAATGGCTGTAGGAATGTTTCCTGAAAGACTTAAATATTCAAAAGTAAAACCACTATATAAAAAGGATGAAAAATCCTGCATCTCAAACTACAGACCTATTTCACTGCTGACAACATTTTCTAAAAATTTTGAGAAACTTATATGCAAGACAGTAAATAATTTATTAAACTCAAACATCTTTGTAGAGGAACAATTTGGATTTAGAAAAAAATCTCTCAACAGAAAAGGCTTGTAAATTTCTATAATATAATTAAACAGTGTTTACACATTAGCCTATATATATATGGAAACATTTAAACACATTACCATTGAGTCCTACGGTCAGGAACTCGGCAGGTCGCCAAGGAGAAAGCCTTGATTGTAATATACATTGTGGTTGAAACGTACATTTGGACATGCCTGTAATTATGATGCCTATTATAGGGCCTCGTCGTTTCCCCGTAGAAGATTTCGAGTACATTAGAGAAAGTGGGGAGAATTACGCCGCCTGAGGCAATGCCGCCAACCTTAATTATCTTTCAAACGATTTGAATTAAGCGCGCTCTGTTCGCACTGACATCTCTGGTGAGGAAATACAAACAGTCTGGAGCTGTTATGGCCGCCTACGTTGCCGTAATATGTTTGTGGTGAAGGAAAATCTGATTGTACGCATGTCTAGTCTAAGTTTTGAAGTTAACAGATTGCTTGGTAAGTGTAAGTTTGTGTTCGTTATTCTTAATACAAATGATAACATGTGAAAGTACAAATACGTTTATCTATTCACCTGACATACAGAGAAATTCTGCCAAACGTGTTTTTTGCAAAACTTTGTGAAATAATCGAACGTAGAGCAGAAATTATTACAAAATTCTCTGTGCTGTCTTCATGATGAATTACTATGATTCAGTGTTTAGCTATTGTAAACAATGTTCATAAAGCAAGAAAATTAAATTTTCCCTTAAAGTGATGTGGTAGGTGGTAAGTGCAATTACCATTTCTCTGCTTATAAAAAAACAGGCCTGATTTCTGAGCCATCTAGCAGTGACTGTTACTGAAGCAAGATGATTGCAGCTCAACACAAGTTCACTATCGCTTTCTTTGTCTTATTCTTATTCTTAACTGTGTACAAACCTTTACAATTATGAACAGCCAATATCTGACCAAAATTCATAAACTCAGCCAAGTCATCATTGGTGTTACATAGGATTATCGGAGATCGTTTTTATTTTTCAAGAAATCATAACAAATGGCTGAAGAAAATGATAAAATGCACAGATTTTGTTATCCCTAAACTGAGACCATCAAAAATGTTTTTTTCCAGCTGTATCGATCTTTTTGTGACGGTAGACTGCGTTCTTGAATGTCTTCACAGAACAGTGGCCTGGCAAAAGCGAAGTGTTACCAATGCATTGTTCAGCTTCATGGATGCTTTCAAGGACATAATCACTAAGACCACGGAGACTGGAATATACATTAACCTGGATGTTGGAGAAAGAGAACTGAACTGGCTCTGTGCTGCTTCCATTGGCAATCTTGAGTGCTAGCAATACTCAATGTTCTGCTTCCAGTACCACAGCAAGTGAGTGGCATCTCTTTCTGAAGTCCTGTCACACATAAAATGTTTTGTCAGCAGGATAAACTAACATACTCCATCTGCAGTACACCGCAGTACTTGGCCCCTAAAGCAATGAGGGGACAGGGCACAGCATGGTAATTATTCCATTCCATGAGTATGTAGAAATTTAAATGCTAAATATAGTGTGATATTCACCGCTTGTATTAAAGTACACAACAAAATTTGCAATAACTACTTTTGATAAGAAACGTAATTAAGCTTGCAGCATACATACGAGAGTCATTAATCATAGGCACGTCTACATCTGAAATTTTAAAAAAAATACCCCCCTTAGCTCTTTTGTTTGTGTTCGTCTGTCTGTCCATCAACATTGAAGATCCTGGGATCGGATTTTCATTATATTTCTTAATAATGCAGACTCATTTGCTTATCACTATAAAGGAATATTTCTGCATATGTTTTAAATAATACAATACGTTACGTATCTGAAAGCGCAAATACATTTGTTTCTTGTTACGAAAACACAATTCTGGATGTTAACTCCTTGGATGTGTAATGAAGTGATGTACCATAATTATGTATGTAAAATATGTAATGTTGTTTAAAGCAAGGACGGAAGGTATTTGAAGGAAGTTAGCTGGAATTATGGACAGTTATGGAGTATGAGAAATAGGGAAACCTACAAAAATGGAAACTTTGCAAGAATGAGGTTATGTAATAACAAAATGAAATATACAATGTATAAACTAAGAGAATTGTATGAGGAAAGAATTTCTGCATATATTTTAAAGAATACCATATGTTACGTATCTGAAAGCGCAGATACATTTGTTTATTGTTATGAAAACACGAATCTCTGTGCTTATTTCTATGCGATATAAGTTATTGTTTCCATTATATTCACAGTAATAATGGCGGTTAGTGAATGAGACTTCCTAATAGGAGGGGTGTGTACTATTTGCTGTCCTGGGCAGTAGTCCTGAGGGATACTCTGGGGCAGGTCCTCTTGCTTGCATTGTAGCCTGCTCGGGCTGGAAGATGCAGCAATTTTGTGAGTTCTCATGCTGACGTTGACATTTTGAATTTAGCCAACTGCAGAATCCTATTAACAGTTTCTAATACGCAATCTCTGTGTTAACAAATGCCCATATTTTCTTCAATTTGTTACTTCAGATCATAGAAAAAGTGTAATAAAATTGGTTGTAACTGTAAAAGTAATTATGTACATACAACATTGTTAAGGGAATTTATAATTTCGTTTATGATGTGAACTGGACTGAGCTGGCTCAGGACGAGGTTTGCTTCACGGAACACAAAAGAGACAAATCTTAGGTTTTAACAGAAAACTGGAATGTCTTGGCAATTGTGACAATTTGTCTGCCATGTTTACTATTGGCAAGTGACAAACTTGTTTTCCAAAAACACAAAATATGTCTTTCAGATGAGAGAGAGAAATATCGCTTCAATTAATCTGATAAGTCAGAGCGATGAGGAAATACTTTAAAAGCAGCTTGTACCACTCGTAGCATACAAATAAGTATCGGCACTCAAAGCGTTCTGCCATGACTTACTGCCATACTGAATTTCATGTGCTCAGATGCAGTTGAACACCATTTAATAGTTCCATGAGCATCAATCATTCTTCTCTCGTACCCTCAACTAACACTTCCATCTTGCTGATTTTGTTTTCCCATTTGCATAAAAATTTATATTCATA